AATGATGAAAAGAATAAAGAAACTACACACTTTTTGTAACATGCCATCTTCTAATAGAACTGAGCCTCTATTTATTAAAAGTATAATCAATAATAATTGTAACTTTCTATAATATAGCCAAATTTTAATACAATAAACCCCTATTTATTGAAGTATAATTAGTAATAATTGTAATAATAATAAAATAATAAAGAAACTATTACTTCTTATAGCATGGCCAAACTCCAATACAATCAAGTTTCTGCTTATTGAAGTAATATTAATAATAATAATACTAATAAGAACTATTTACTTTCTATAGTACGGCCAAATTCTAATACAATTGAGCCTCTATTTATTGATATATAATCAGTAATAATTGTAATAATATAAAATAATAAAAAAACTATTACTTTTTATAGCACAGCCAAATTCTAATATGGCCAGGTCCCTACGTATTGAAGTATTATTAGTAATAATTGTAATAATAATGATAATAATTAGAAACTACTTACTTTCTATATCACGGTCAAATTCCAATATGACCAAGCCCTATTTTTTGAAATATAATCAGTAAGAATTGTAATAATAATGAAATAATAAGAAACTACCTATTTCCTGTAGCACAGCCAATTCCAATATGACCAAGCTCTATTTATTGAAATATAATTAGTGTAGAGTGTCTAGGGGTCTGCGGCAGCAGAATCTGTGCAGAATTTGTACAGAATTCTGTGAGCAGAATAATAAATGATTAGAAAACATAGTCTATTGTAATAAAATTAGTATTTTCTTTTTGTTGTAATTTTTTGTGATTTAGTTTTTAAAGTATTATTTATATGCCGCCGCAGAATTTACAAATCTAACAGTAATTGCAGCAGAATTTGTCAGTTAGGGCAGCAGTCCCCTGAACACTCTAAATTAGTAATAGTTGTAATGATAATAATAATAATAAAGAAACTATTCACATATTGTAGCATTGCCAAATTTCAATATATCGAGGTCCCTATTTATTGAAGTATAGTTATAATTGTAATAATTATAATTATTATAATAAATATTACAACAATATCATGTACCAATGCTTCTTGTAACCCATTATTACTGTTACTATTGTATCGAGAGAGCTTATAGAGTTATTGGCAGAATTTAGCTCCAATAGTTAACTTATATGTTCATTGTGATAGAACTCAAAATAATAAAATAATTAAGAAAATCAATTATAGAAATAACTAAGCACGTGAGGTTAAGTAATTAATCTGAGATTGGGGTACTTAATTATATTTACCAGTAATCAATCAAGTAAATAATCAGGTTATTCTAAAGAAAATTGAAACTGAGTAATATACGAGTTATTATCTATCCTACTAACTAAGCTTTTCTATTATCTAGTTACTCCACCTTACTTCCTTTCAACTTTTTAGCTTACTTCTAGTCAATATGCCTTAACAAACAAGAATCTTCAGATATAAAAATAAACAAAAATGACAAATTAACAAAGACTTATGCACATTTTCATTACTGGTAAAGAAAGTATGTAAATAGTAGGCTGTTTAGCGAATGTATAGTTCTAGTCAAAGTAATTAACGACCATTTGTACAAGCCTTACTTATTGAAAGTAAAAGTATAAAAGAGCTGTCTTTTTGCTCATTGAATAAAGCTTTAGATTTTAATGTCTTTAATATATGAATATTAAGAATTGATTTCTCAGTTGTTGTTATAAGTTTATTGACACATCGTTGTATTTATTGTTATTTTCTTATCTTAACCGTGAAGGCTCTTCACGATCGTATTATACATTTTTATTATTATTCTTAAGTATATTGTATATGTCATCCACCTTGAGGACATTGATGTTTGTGAAACACATCATTTATATTATACACTAGTTTTGATCTAGATTTAACTTGTTTAAATTAGAGCGCTTTCAAGCAAAAAATTCAGTCCTTCCTCTGAAGGGATTTCTATTGTCTGACCATTGTTGATAGTGCATCTCATGGATTACTCATGAGTGTTTCATAGTTGGTCTAATGCTGCACAGAGAACAATTATAATATGCAAAGAAATAATTGAAGCCAACTATGTAAATCTAAATATGCATAAGTCATTCTTTCATGAAGTTTTTTTTGGATACAACCAGAGCGGCCATCGATTTTATGGGTCATGTGGGTGGTGCCACCAATATTCAATATGTACGTACAATATGCAAGGCCAAAATTTTTATAGTGATAGTAACTATCACTGTGCTACCCACCTGATCTGTAAAATCAATAGTCACTGTTTTTTACTTGACTATCTACTTTTGTTTAACCACTCATATATAACAGTTTTTTTTTTGAACAAAAAAAACTGTACCCGTTACCCATAATGTTTAACTATGTCAAACTCTAAATCACCTTCCTTTAGTAATGATGTTAATAGTAATTCCTTGCAAAATTATTCTCCTACAAATATTAAACGAACTTCTAAATATACTATTCAAAACCGATATCCTATAAATTTTGCAAGTTCAAATGAAAGTTTAAATGATCATTTATATAACCCAACAAATATTAAACCAAACCCTAAATATACAATTTAAAATCATCATCCCGTAAATTTTGCAAGTTCAAATGAAAGTTTAAATAATCATTCATATAATCCTACAAATATTAACTGAAACTCTAAATATACAATTCAAAATCATCATCCCGTAAATTTTGCAAGTTTAAATGAAAATTTAAATGATCATTTATATAATCCTACAAATATTAAACAAAATCCTAAATATACAATTCAAAATCATACTGAAAGTTTAAATGATCATTTTTATAATCCTACAAATATTGAGCAAAACCCTAAATATACTATTCAAAGCCAATATCCTATAAATGTTGCAAGTCCAAATGAAAGCTTAAGTGATCATTCATATTATAGCCAAAACCAAGAAGTCCAACAAAGGTAAATCAAATAATATAAATTTTTGAATTTAATTATGTATATATGTTTTATATTAATTATTTTTTTTTAATTATTAAGTTTAAATTATAATGATCAGTATCTTGAACATAAAAATCGTAATAGTTATATTGGTTCTAATTATCATCCTGAATATGTCACTAGATCAAGTTCTGAATATACTGTTAAACCAGGTTTGATATTTGTAACAAAATATAAATATTGCAAAGTAAATTCTGAAAATAAAATTTTTATTATAGCCAATTTAACTCTTAAATTTTTATTTTAAACTTTTATTTTGCAATATTTAATGATTGTATCTATAAAAATAAATTATTAACATTATACATTTTAGATTTTTGATGAAGCTGATAAAGCTAATAACTTAGGTATGTACTAAATTATTTAAAAAGCAGTTTGTTACTAAAGGGTATAAGCACATATAAGCATTATTGTAGAAATTAGTAAGCATTAATTATAAATTTTTAATAGTATAAAAATTTATAAATAATACCGTTGATTCTTACTATAAAATTTATATCTTTAACTGTAGACTATTGCTTGATTATTAAAATTATTTTGATTTAATAAACTAATTTAAAATTTTTAAACTTAAGATAATTTTTTTATAAACTGTCCAAAAACTATAGAACGTATAAAGCTTCTGAATCAAATTATAAATCAAAATCTAATAATTATAAAAAACCAAATATTCAACCAAAATATAATGATAATAATAGAGTTCATGATGACTTTATTAATATTAATGATTATAATAAATTTATTAATGATCATAATAATTTTATTAATAACTGTAATAATTTTATTGATGATCATAATTTAAAAAATACCCCAATCTCTATAAAACCACAACGTAATTCATTTAAAAGCAATCAAAGTAATATTTTATAAATATATATTTTAATTTTTTAAAATTAATTTATTAACTTATATATTATGATAATTTATAGATAATTCATTAAAAGCTAACTGGACAAATAATAAAATTGAAGCTCTTATATATTCTATAAAACAACATTATAATAAATTGAAAAATGCGTCAAATAATACTATTAGAGCAAAGGTATGGGATAATATTTTTGATGAATTTAATCAACTATTTTCAGACAACAAAAATCGTAATATTAATGCAGTTAAAAATAAATGGAAAGATTTGATAAATCGATATAAAAATATTGTAGACAATAATAAAAGAACTGGCGCAGAAAGAATTGTGTGTGATTTTATAGAAGATTTGGGTGAAATTTTAGATAAAAATCCTAGTGTAAGACCATTAGTAACATCAGAAAAAAATATTAGTGATCAAACAGCTAGTAAAAAAAGAAAAAATGAAAAAGATGATATTTTAGAATATCTTAAAAGAAGAGAAGAAAAGGCTGATAAATTTAGAGAAAACTTTTTAGAAATAGTTAATAATTTTTTAAACTAAGCTCAATAAAACTATATATTGGATTATAAAGTTTAAATACATTTTTATAATTAGCTGGAGCTGGGAGCAAGGCGAAAGCCTTCAAGCCTTACTCTATTGAATTTTACTTGACCCAAATTTTAGGTTCAAAAAAACTGGAGTTGAACCTTGATTTAAATATGATAGCTAACTTCTGATAAATGTAACCTTAATTATCTATGCAATGCTAATTAATATGAATAATTATACAGATTATAACCTAGTACCAATTCAATCTATTAAATATAGAGGAATTTACATATAAAAATGATTACTAATGAGAGCACAAAATCAAAATTCTTACATACTGTAGCGGCCCAAAATCAAAATCTATTACAAATAAGGGTTTGTCCGATCTATGAGCTATACTAAATGACTAAGCCACAAGACTTACATAGCGTTGCCCAAAAAAAAATGGTAGTAGTAGTCAGATTTTTTGCTGGCTTACATATAACATCGAAAACTGATTGTCTGTAAAGTTATGTTTATCATGCTTAATAATGATAATGTAAGCATTAGAACTTTGATTTTTATTTTGATCTTTGTTTGACTTTCACTTGGATTTTAGCTTTGATTTTTGCTTTGACCTTGACTTTCGCTTTGACTTTCACTTTGACTCTTGCTATGAATTTGCTTTAATTTTCGTTTTGACTTTGACTTTTGCTTTGAATCTCCTTTCGCTTTAACTTTCATTTTCGTTTTGCTTTGACTTTTGCTTTGATTTTTGTTTGACTTTGACCTTCTCTTTGGCTTTCGTTTTAACTTTCACTTTTATTTTGTAAATTTTTGCTGTGCTGAATTCACAAAAATATAAGTTTGTGAATATTTTATACTTTGCTTTACTTTACTTCTTGTTTATTAATGTTAATTTAGCTAGTAAATACAAAGGTTTTAATGCTCAAATACACATTATATCTTTTTATTCATGTTATTTAGTTACATATAAAGTTCTTTTTAATCAATGCATTAAAATTCATAAAGTCATAAATTTGTTGACGAGATTCATGAATAGTAACCTTAGTTTTTATTCATTTGACCACTCAATTTGGTCAAATTGATTTGTTGGTACTGGTTTTTAAGTTGGTGATCTGGATTGCATAGAAGCAAGATCTCTACCAGTCTATCTCTATTTAGTCATCTTTTCAATATGTGACTTTTTGTCAACTTGTATTAAAAATATATAATTTCTAATTTTACTCCAATTTTTTATTTTTTTTGTATTGGCCTATTATAAAATGTGTACTGCTTAAATACTAATTAGCAACATACAATTCATAAACTTATTTTGTTAGCACTTATAATAACTTTAAACAAACTCGTACTAGACTATAACACTATTCAGCTGTTCATTATTTACTATTGTAAAATAATAGAATATTGAATAGAGCGTACAGTTAATTTTACTTCAAAAAAGAACCCCATTTATATATAGTCATTACACTTAATCATCCAGTATAACCACCAAAAATTATCAATAAAGCACCAATTAAAATCGGATTATTACAATTATAATTAAAAAACAGCATATATATGGGACTTTTGTAGTAGAAAGAGTCCAAAAGATGATTTTAAAGATAATCAAGTTTATTCTGTTCGGACATATTCAAGAATTCAGTTTTTACTGGTTAATAATTTTGGTTAATTTTTATGCCAATCGATCTCTGCATAGCATAGCGGGCTTTATTATGATTGGTTGATTTTGAAGATCGTCTCATCATATTAAAGTCTTATCAAAGTAACGATTTGCTGTCA